ACTGCTTCTGCGGTTTTCACTTAATTCTTCTTACCGCATCTGCGACCCTTACCCGCACCTGCGGTCACGCAGGTGCGTTCCTTCCTCCGCACCTGCGGCTCCTACCCTTTTCACTTGTGGCCGCATCTGCGGCTGCTTCCTCGCTCCTGCGGACGTCGCACCTGCGGTCCCCTAAACGCAAGTGCGGTTATAACAGAACCAGCATCTTCAGCTACATCTTCCAATTTCCAAACTTTCTGATAACCATCCGAAATCATCCCGAGGTCCCCGGGACCTCATCCAAAAATACGAACAAGTCACATATCACTATTCAAACTTATTCCAACCTTTGGAACACTCAAAACAACATCGAAACACCAAATCACCCTCGGATTCAAACTTAAGGATTCTAAAACTTTCGAATTCCGCAACCGATCCAAAAACATATCAAACCTCGTCCGAATGACCTGAAATTTTGCACACACGTCACAAATGACACAACGGACTTACTCCAATTTTCGGAATTCCATTCCGACCCCGATATTAAAATTTCCATTGTTGTAACCGGAAACTCCAAATTTTCAATTTCGCCAATTCAAGCCTAAATCTACCACGGACCTCCAAATCACATTCCGGACGCGCTCCCAAGTCCAAAATCACCTAAGGGAGCTAACCAAATCATAAAAATCCAAATCCGAGATCGAATACTAAAAAGTCAAAACTTTCAAATTTAAAGCTTCAAGCTGAGAATTGTTCTTCCAAATCTATTCCGATTATCCTGAAAATCAAAACTGACGACTTACATAAGTCATAATACATCATACATGGCTAGTCATGCCCGAGAACTGGCGAGCGAAGTGTCAATGCTCAAAACGACCGGTTGGGTCGTTACAAGATACAACAAATTAAATTAAAAAAAGAAGAAGAAAGAAACGTCATCAAACCCTCCTCCACGTTCTGCCTTCCAACCTTCACCTTCACCTTTACCCCAGCCTCCACCTCATTTTCCTCTCTCCCCCTTCTTCTTCACCTTATCCCCCTCCTCTATTTTAACCCAAACCTTACTACAACACCACCTTCCTTCCCCACCTCTTTATCTACTAGTGGTATTCCTCACCACCATAGATCTGACATCACCGTCAGATTGGCCCTATAATTTTTGGGAACCTTTCTCGCATCACTATTCCCCAACTTTTGAAGACAAGCTTTTGCAAAGGACAAAAATAGAAATATTGAATAAAGATCGCTGGTGAAACATTCTTCTCTTTCTTTTTAATTTTTTTTTGTTTTGCTTCTTAGGTGTTTGGTTTGAAAGAGAATTTAAGGATAAATTTTCTTCCCTAATCCATCCGCTGTCTGGGTTTTGAAAGGGAGACATGAATTTGAATAGAAGAGGAAAGATAGTGGCGATTTTGGAGTGGTTGCCGGCGATGGTGGCAGCAGAAATATCATGGCTGGTTGAATCGATTGTAGTAATGGAGAAAAATTAGAACAAAAAGAAAAAGACGAAGTAGGTTTAATTGTGTGCTTTCAGATGGAAGAGGAAGGTTGGCGGTGTGTGGTAGTGGTGGTGGCAAGTGGAAGAGGCAAATATGGAATGGTGGAGAGAGGAGGAAGGTTTAGATTTTTTTTGGGAGAAGAAAGGAGTGGGTTATGCGTTTGATTTTTTTATTAAAAAATATGTTTTTAAAAATAAAAAACGATGTGTTATTAATTTATCTGAGGTGGATGTGACGTGTCCTTTATATCAGCACTAGTGAACAACACACGGTATTGGAGGTGTTTAAGACTAAGGTTTTATACAAGTTCAAGTGTCTGGTTGAAATAATATAGAGTAGGGTGACCGGGATGTCAAAGCCGAATAAGTAGAGGTGCTTGTCAGGCTATTTTGCCTTGAAAATAAACACAATTCTCCTCACTCTTATCTCACCACCCTCTCCTAAACTTTCATAGTGTGACTTAGTACCTTGATACCCTATAGTTGTTGTAATATTGGATGTCAACCTTGTTCTTGTACAACGGTATCATCGTACTCCACCTCCATTCCTCGGGCATCTTTGAAGTCCTAAAAATGACGTTGAACTATTCAGTGAGCTACTCCAAGTCTGCCTTGCCCGCGCTTTTCAAAAATTCAACCAGAATTTCGTCAGGCCCGGTCGCTCTCCCCTACTCATCTTACACATAGCCCCCTCAACCCCCTCCACCTTAATATCCTTACAATACCCAAAATCTCGGCGACTCTCGGGATATTCAAAATCACCCAACATAATGTCCCTGTCCCTCGTTTCATTCAAGAATTTATGAAAGTATGCTTGCCATCTTCGTCTTATATGTGCCTCTTCCACCAATATTTTGCCTTCCTCGTCTTTGATGCACTTCACTTAGTTCAGGCCGTGGGTCTTCCTCTCTCTCGCCTTGGCTAGTCTTGTATAGTTTCTTGTCCCCGCCTCTAACCCAAGTTCTTCATTCAAGCGCCCAAAGGCTGCCGTCTTCGCCGCTGTAACCGCTAATTTCGCCTCTTGCCTATCTTTCTTATATCCCTCCCTATTTGTCTTCTCCTCCTCGTCTTTGCTCCCCACTAACATTAAATATGGGGATACCATGCACGACCTCGTCCAAATCTTCCCAGAAGCAACTCTTGACCTCTTCGCCTATGCCCGCTTGAGACACATATGCACTAATAACGTTGAAAGTAAGTCCTCCGACAATTAACTTAGTGGCCATGAGCCTATCGTTCACCCTCGTGATCTCTACCACTTGCTCCCTGAGTTCCCTATCAACCAAGATACCTATCCCGTTCGTACCCCTCACGCATCTCGAGAAACAACTTAACCCTGTCTACATCTTGTATCTTAGTTCCCACCCATCTAGTCTTCAGGACACAAGCTATATTGATCTTCCTCTTATGGAGAATCTTTACTAACTTTATAGATTTTCCCCTCAAAATTTTCATGTTCCAGGACCCAAACCTCACCTAGAAGCTTCCCTGCCCCCTTACCGCCCTTGCCTTCCGCCTCACCTGAGGACATGATATTACTTTAGCATCTAACACTAAAGCCACTACACTTTAGGGAAAACTAGGCTAGACTAGCCCTTTAATCAAGCAATGAGCCTAAAAAATGTAATACATTGAAACTTAGGCACTAAGAGATGGTACGAAATACCAAGCAAATAATGTGCTAAATCTAGGGCAAACTAATTACTTAACAGGGAATGAAGACAAAAAAGTCGAATAGGTGAACAAGAGGTACCAACTCCCGAAAGCTAGAACCTGGAATGTGGTCAGGGACGACTAGGCATTGCTGCAGCACTCGACTAACCTTCCATAATTATTGGAACAAAAATTAGAAATTTTTTATTCATTGCTAATTTCGAAAATAAAATATTTACAATGTATACTAAAATTAAATATGTTCTGCATTAGTGATATCTGAATATGAAATCTGCACTATATCTATATCTATATCTATATCTGGGGATAATCATATCTCAATATTTTGAAACCATACTTATTGGGGGTTCCATCCCGATAGTCTGATCCCAACCCAACCAGCTAGGTAGTCATGCACATCATGTGTACGTCACGAGTCGGACGCCATCCCGTCAGTTATGAATGCTAGTCAATCTGAATCTACCTACTGTATATAAGTAGCATAATCTGATACTGTCACAATTGTGCGTGACTTTCTTGTGATGGCACCCTATGGGGGGATGAATCAACTCATACCTTTTCAGCTTTCTACCAAACCATACTTTAATCTTAAGACATATATCCAAAACGTATATAATGCGTAAAGCTTAAAACATTTAAATAAGATATTCAATAGCTGTACTTGAGAAAATATAACCAAGTCTGGAACAGTATTCTGGTAATCTGAAGCAGGCTTTCGTAAGTCACCATAGGAAAACACATTATGCATCATATCATAAAATTAGGACCAAGCTACACATTTAAAATATTTGCCTAAGCCGAAACTCATCAACACAAGCATGTACTTATCCTCACACATGCAAGGTTATAATACATATACTTAAGACATTTTTAGAAATATGAAAAGGTTATTTTTCGTTATCTAAAACATGCATATTTCAATTGAAATCATGCTAGTTATGAAAAGCTAGATATGGATAGATTTATACTGGCATTAGGTTCTTAACATTAATATATCTTGGTACTTGTTTCTAATGAACCCTTCAGGAATCTATAAATAAAAAATAGTGTAATTTTTTGTCATGTTTGCCTTAATTTTACGCCTCTTAAAGACGAGGGATTTTCAGATCAATGCTACACTACTTAATTATTGTGTTTTTCCCTGTACATATATCATATGAACTAGGTAAAGAATAGATAGAGACTAATGATACAAGGATTATCTGCCACAAAGGAAAGCTTTAAACTAAGGATAAGACAGATTTAGAAGAAAAAGCACTTACATATTGTTCTTGTAGCTTTTAAATGCTGGAAACAAGTTTGACAAGGCCGGTGTTTTGACATTACATAGCCCTTTAAATAGAACTTGCAAGTGGCGGTTGTGCTAGTTCCTCTCTAGAAGTTCTTTAGTGTTAAGTAACCTTATACTTGACTAATAAGTATTCTAATGTAAGTTGAGAAAGACAGTTAATGGGTTTCCAATTCTTGTAGGTAGTGTTAGTGATTAGAAGCACTAGCTACTAGGCGTTTGGTAACAGATTTGCAAATCAGTGGTTGTTTACAATTTTGTCCATTCTTTTAACTTGTCCATTATATAAAGAAACATGTTAGTATCTTTTATGCCACTATATTCCAAGTTTGGAAAGGAACGCAAGAAACTTTTCCTTGTAAGAATACCAAAGTCACTCCGATATTACTTAAATTCTCATTACAGAATTCAGTTTGCTACTTTAGTGATGTTTAAAGTATGCTCGGGGTAGGGAATTACAATACTGTTTTATTTTTGGTTCCATGTAAACTTTATTTGGATTGCAACAATTTAATAGAACAAACTAAATTGACTATTTGAATTGTTCCCTTTCATTTTCAGTGTTGGATTGAACTTGGTGTATCCGATATGGGATCATCATCAGATGAAGATGAGATGAGAGAGGCAATGCATACTTTGTCATCTGATGAGATGAGAGAGGCAACGCATACTTTGTTTGTTGCTATGGAGCTGTGCACAAGGTTTGTAAAGTTTAATTAGTTCCAAACAATTATTATTACATAAAAGTTCTCACATATTTTTATTATTTGTATCTTTAGCACCCTTCATGCTAGACTGGAAGCAGAGATAGAGAAGGTGCCTGTGCTCCGCTATCTCAAAGAGCTGCTGGAGGGATTGCAATTCATCCATGAAAAGGGAGTTATTCATGGAGATTTGTCTCGAGACAATATCTTCTTGGATGATCATGATCATATTAAAATAGGAGATTTTGGCTTGGGTAAGTTGTTTATTCCATTTCCTTTTGTTTGTTTATTTATTTATTTCTTCCGTCAGTATTAATTAGGTTATAACTTTTATGCCCCAACAAGCAATAACCAATTAAGGAAAACCATTAAAAGAACTTCTTTAGCATGAGTGAAATTAGGAATAGCTAATACAAGAGCTTCAGCCATAGCCTTCTTTAAAGCTGAATGTTCTCTCAACTTCTTCATCCCAATTGAAATCAGTGGCGGCTCAATCGAATATATATGTGACTTAAAACAAAAACTTAAAAGAGGCCCTAATTTTTTTAGTAATATTTTATATATTTTATTAGGTGTTTATTTTTATAGTTTCCTAAAATACAAGAAAGTTAATTATATTTGGATAATCAATTTTGTTTCACTTGTCAATATGGTCAGTACGTGTAATTTTCATGAGTCATTGTTGATCTTAAGTTCGTATTGATTTTAATTTACAAACTTTTTTCAATTGAGGCAACTGCTAGAGAAAATATTAAAATTATTTTATAAGTAATAGAAACATTTAAAAAAATAGAATTAAGACTTCACATATGCAAATTAGAGTATCATCTTCTATTTGTACAATTTCCCTATCACTTTTAATTTCAAAAATAGGTAGAACCATCAATTTCATAGATCATTATGCTTCAAAAGATATTCAAGGTTAATAGCATATGTGGCCAAGCTTCTCCAAAGGCAAAAATGCTTTTTCTTCAAAAAAAAAAGTACTATCTTTTTTAAGAAGTTGAGGTGTTTGGCCAAGCTTTTAGGAGGAAAAAAGCTATAGGACAACACATTTTTCCAATCTAATCATTTAATAATCTAATTAGCTTGAGCTTAAAAATATTTAAATAGATACTCAAAGAATTGAAAAAATTAAATGCATTAGACAAAATTAAGATATGAAGTAGCTACAAATTTTGTTACCTACTATTTTCAATCGTAATTACATTTAATCATATTTTAAAATTTACTTATTATAAACTTCAAAAATATGGACCTAGTGTTTGATAAAAAATTGACAACATATGATTACAAATTTTTATTTTTCACTAATAATAAATAGTATATAATTATTTGGGGCCTTAATTTTTGGGACCTAAAGCCACTGTTTTAGTGGCTTTAGGGTTGAGCCGCCCCTGATTGAAATCATCCAAAATCGAAGCCAATGCATTTGCACGTGATGTTTATGTATGTTGTTCTTCAAATCTGAACTGTTGGTAGTTGAAATGCAAGTCTAATCCTAGCCATCCACGTCTACTACTCCTTACTCCTAATCAGCTAGCTTAACTGTTAATTGAGTTTAACTAACTTTTTAATTATCCCTTCGTTTCAATTTAAATGTCACGCTTTCCTTATTAGTCCGTTCCAAAAAGAATGACACATTTTTATATTAAGAAACAATTTAACTTAATGAGAAAATTTATAGCCATACAAATATTATGGTCCCAGAAAGCTTTTGCCCCTCAAGCTTTTAGGACCACATGTTTCAAACATCTTTCTTTTGTTTCTTAAACTTTGTGCCAAGTGAAACTACATCATCTAAATTGAAATGGATGGAGTACTAAGTAAGCTGGATCATAGCAATAACTTGCAGCGTTTTAACTTTCTTTTTCTACATAACTTGTAGCTTTTTAACTTTTCTTTTTCTTTCATTTAGCTCGTAACACTCGAGATGGCTCAATTCCTTTTGGGGATGGATTGGGTAACATGATGTATCGAGCCCCCGAGTTGTCTATTGATCCCCGTTTAATTAGCACAAAATCCGACATGTTTTCACTCGGATTAGTGCTTTTTGAGTTGTCATGTCCAATGGGAACTGGATATGAAAGAGCCAGGCAATTTGAGGAGTTGAAGAAATCTGGTGAAATTCCGGAAGAAAAGGTAGATGAAATTCTCAGAGAAATAATTTGTCAGGTCTTGAAGAAGGATCCGCAGCAGCGTCCTTCAGCAGCTCAGTTGCTTCATCGTTACTTCTCGTAGTGTTAGAATTTAAGGTATGGCTACCGACTTCCGTCACTATAACAACATACTTATGGCTGTGTGCTTCCTCTATGTAGTCTGTACTAACTGTTCCATTTTCTACTTTCCCTACTTATTGCAGAAAAGGACATCCGTGCAGGTTCGAGGGACTACTATATTAGCCTGTTAGATATTGTTGAACCTTCTTTCTCTGTATATATTACTATTGAGCTACTCTAATCTTCTAAAAGAAAAGGTTTAAGGCAAAGGAGAAAAGGGCAGAAAAGAGTACATTCTGTAGCAAATTTTTAGTTTCTTTAAATCATTTTTGTTCTTTTATATGGTCTATAATAGTATATTTTTGTCATGTTATTTCGTCATTGCCCTTCTCGCTAATGAATTAATGACTCTACCCGAGAATCATTACCATTGAGTTATAGTAGTTACTTCATCCGTTCACTTTTACTTGTTCATTATACTAAAATATATTTTTAGTTTTACTTGTCCATTTTAACAAATCAAGAAAAAAATAATTCTTTTTTCCGTTTTACTCCTATCATTAAATATTGATTTTCCAAGAGTTTTTGAAATGCTATTATTATTATAGGTAAAATTATAAAATAAACTTCATTTTTTAAAGAGGCGTGCAAAATCAAAAGTGGACAATTAAAAGTGAAAGAAGGTAGTACTTTTCTTAAAAGATTCTTTCACTTATGGTGAAGTACAAGTAATGAAGGGACCCCAATTCCCTTTCTAACTTTTATTCAATGAAGGGTAGTTTTGGAGTGAAAACCTTTACTTCTGATTTATTATAACAAAGCCATTTCACACAGAGAAATTCTTTTTGTAAAAAATTGGGATAAAGGGATTAATAAAAAGAATTGGTTCAAGTATAATTAAGTTTTTACTACTATATATGAATGTAGCTTTTCTATTCGGACGTCCATATTAAATTCACACGACTCAAAAAGGATTTTATAAAAGCTTAGATTATACAATTTGGAGTAGATAGAGAAGTATACCTAAGCTGACATTAGTTCATTAACAGAAATTAACAATTAGAGAATTTTAAATACCTTCTAAACTATATGGCAGATTTTGGTAATCAAGAAAACACTAGGAGAGGTTTGTGCCACAGAAATTAAATTTATCTGAAAGGAGTAGCTGATAAATGTTTGTTCTGTGCACTGACCGTGTATAATTTTTCAAAACTATCAGGTTAAGTTATTTGCAATAGTTAATAGATAATTGTTTATCTTTATATTATAACCGTGACAATAAAGTACATAGTTATTATATCATATAAATTATAATAATAAATCTAAAAATTCTTTACAATGTCTATTTATGTAACTTAAACTCATACACGTATATCATGAAACTACTCATTTTTCAAACACACAAAATAAAATTGCAAATTTAAGAGGAATAATTTACGATACCAATAATACGAAAGAATTTGAACATCCAACCCGTAAACTTAATGCAATAAGGTGACTATGTGAGTGACTTAGAACATTATAAATCCCTCTAATAACTCATAACCAATGATGAATAAGGTATTCTTTATGTCACGACCCGGATTTCCCACCATCGGGAGTCGTGATGGCGCCTACTATCGAAGCTAGGCAAGCCACACATTTAAAACATTCATTTGATAACATTTTTAAATACATAAATAAACGAAAAACCATTAAATTAAAAGCGGAAGACTTTAATCTTAAATAACAGAAATAAGATACGAAAGTTGAAACATATCTCTACCCAGAGTCTGGTGTCACTAGCTCACGGACTACTATAGAGTACTACAAACAAGTCTGGAATGAAATTACATGGTGTTTGTCTCGATACAAAGAAAACAAACTAAAACATAGAAGGGACTTCGGCCTGCGAACGCCAGCTAGGCTGCCTCGTGAGTCCCTGGACTGAAGACAGCTCCCGGGCAATCCTACTGCTGCGGTCCAAAAGCTGCTCCTGGATGTGTGCAAAAAGATGCACAGAGTGTAGCATCAGCACAACCAACCCCATGTGCTGGTAAGTGCCTGGCCTACGGCTAAATATGATAAGTGAACCTCTTCTTATGCAAATATATTGGCTAGGATACTCATATTGGTCTAAGTCTAAATTCCTTCTATATATATTCATCGAAGACCAAATAAAAGTTAACACTATCTTAAAACTCATTTCGAATAAACTCTGCCATTGACAATTTTGCAATTTTAAAATCAAGTTCATTAAGACAATTTTTCAAATTTATAGTTATTTCAAAGTGTTTGCAACAAATTTATTTGTGATAAAAAAATAAATTGCAACCACAATAAAAATATGAAGAAACATAGTTTTATTGATAAAATGATGGGGGTACAATTCTGTTTCTCCCTTGATTCTTCTCTCCTGATTATCTCCGTGATTCGAGGGCTGGAGCAGCGTTTCTCTCGAACGTAGGATGATGAAGACCTCCTTGGATTTATTTGATATCCATGAAGTATGTTGTGGATTTTCTTGAAGTATTTGATTATCAAGAATTATCCGGCCACCTCTTTATCTCTTTATGAATATCCCGTGAGTTTATGGGATTTCTGAGATGATCTCCATTTTTTGAGATTTTTTTAAAGGATTATGTAACCATTTTTATAGGAGTGACCTAGGGTTTAGGTAGAGTAGTCTCCAAGCAACACTGACAGAATCCTAGAACTTCAAGAGGTCTTGTAGTATCTTGAATTTAGGATTTAGCTTAATCCATTAAAATTTCGATGTCTACAAATGCCCCCTACTTCAAAGTTTGTCGGGGTGTAGGCTTGCGAAATTTAAAGACAAGACTTGAAGTACTCGACCATAAAACCGCTACTTTTGAAACTTGGAGTTTTCAATTTACAGGAGGAAGAGATGAAGGGCAGGACTGGTCCCACTGGGCGTGCCAATTTGTTTGCAACAAATTTATTTGTGATACAAAAATAAATTGCAACCACAATAAAAATATGAAGAAACATAGTTTTATTGATAAAATGATGCGAGTACAATTCTGTTTCTCCCTTGATTCTTCTCTCCTGATTATCTCCGTGATTCGAGGGCTGGAGCAGCGTGTCTCTCGAACGTAGGATGATGAAGACCTCCTTGGATTTATTTGATATCCATGAAGTATGTTGTGGATTTTCTTGAAGTATTTGATTATCAAGAATTATCCGGCCACCTCTTTATCTCTTTATGAATATCCCGTGAGTTTATGGGATTTCTGAGATGATCTCCATTTTTTGAGATTTTTTTTAAAGGATTATGTAACCATTTTTATAGGAGTGACCTAGGGTTTAGGTAGAGTAGTCTCCAAGCAACACTGACGGAATCCTAGAACTTCAAGAGGTCTTGTAGTATCTTGAATTTAGGATTTAGCTTAATCCATTAAAATTTTGATGTCTACACAAAGTTCCAAGTATATTATTTTATTTAAAGTTTAAATGTCAATTATAGTTTATTTTTACATAGTATGGATGTAGATTAATTTATTTTTAAAGTTAACATTACCACTAATAATTCTGACTTCTTGAAATTTATANAGTTAAAATAAATAAAAGAGAATAATAAAATTTTAAAGACTAATTGTCAATACAAATCCAACATAAGTGCGGTTACAAAAGGTTAAAAGTTGATTAGGTATGTTAATTTGAATACCTTCCGGTATTGAATATGAAATTCGTGTGTCATCGAGTTTGAGAACTTATTTATCTTTAAATTTATTTCTAATATTTTGTATAACTACTTATAGTTATGTAAAATAAGAGATAAGAAAAAACGGACTCCTAAACCTAAAAGAAAGGGAAAGTGCTCTATTAATAAGAATTGTTTATGGAAAATATATGAATTTCGTTTACTATTAATATTGGAGTAGATTTGTTTATTATATTACATAGTTAAAATAAGAAAAAATTTAGTACAAGATTTAGTTGATTTCGAAATCCTAAATATTAGGAAAATAAAATGACTATTTTGTCTAATGTGAGGTTAATGTTTAAAGGGTAAAAAAGGCGAACGACATTTCGCTAAGGGCATTCTTGCTTTTAGTATAGTATAAATATAGATATAGATTATTGTAAATGTATTGAATATATAAACTAAATATTATATAAGGTTTAAATTGAATGATGCTATTTATTATGGAATGCATATTTAATTTCCTTACTTTGAAGAGTTTGTATCTTGTTTTCTAGGAATATGATAAACTTAATAAGAGAGAGGTAAATAGCAATATTTAATTCACTATCTATAGTTATGGCTACTTTTAAGGGATATTATCCTATAAAATCGTGGTTGTTAAGATAAATAAGTTATATGAAGTAATTATTTTAAGAATTTTTAACTTTAGGATATATGGTGTAAAGAGGCCATATCGATAGGCATATGGATTATGGCGTAACTTCCCCAATGTTATTAGCACACCGTTACCATCTTCACTCTACCCTTTTTACCTTTTGGCTCCAACCAAACTATTCACCTCTTTCTGTAATAATATGGTCTCAAAGTTTTCCTCTTGTTCTCGAGCTCTCATCATCATCAACTGATACGCGGCGCCTTCCTGAGATTCCTTGGAAGGGCGATGTACGGCTAGGCAACTGATGTCAGTGCAGTTGCTGTCCACCAACTGAGGTCCCCTCCGTACGCTAGACGAGATTGTCAGTGCCGTACGGGAAAACCAATATCAAGAACAATTGAGAGAACAGAAATGAGAATTCAGAATGAAAGAAAGCTTGATTGCATTAATGAAAGCTATTACAGAAAAACAACGCGGTGTCGAGGGGGGATCAAGCAATCAAAACTTTCTAGCAAGCAATAAGGATTTTGAGTATTAAAAAAATGATGATGTATGGTAAAGACAACGCCATGAGAATTAATGGACTTTCGAGAAGTCCAGAAAAACAAAGTTGACTGCATAATTCAACCTTTGGTGGTTGAAATCGACCCCAAAACTTGGGGTGGATGGATATGTAATATGTTTCCTTTCAGAAGATAGAATAAGATTTCACCTTGTTTGTTTCAAATTTTTATCCATCCAATTACGTTTATTTTTACTCTATCGGAAACAACCTCTCTTCCTTCATAAGATAGGGATAAAGTTTGCGTTTACATTACCCTCCTCAGACCCCACATGTGCAATTTTACTGGGTTTGTTGTTTTATTCATTCAATTACGAACGGAATTTGTTGGATTTGTCAAGTCATTTTCTATTTAATTGTTTTTCTATACTTATGTCTTTTGCTCGATAGTATCATCAATGCAGAACTAGCAACTTCAGCCGTCTCCAATGAACACAACATCTAGCTGCGGAAGTCGTAACGATTAAACGCTTTTTAGTGCAATCAGTGAGTTGTTTTATCCTTGGAAGTTGCAGAATTTGGCAAGAAGAATTCAAATACTGACAAAATATAAGATTGTCAGTTCTCTTACAGGACGATCAGTATATGCCTAGTCTATCCTGCATTCACAGTTTCACCAACTGATTCTGCAATATAACAAGTTACTACATTGGGCCTGAACTTGCATCATCGAAGTTCATGTAGTTTCACTGCCAAATCTGGTTCCCAAAGTTGCATCACATTCAACTCAGATGTTTTTGTCTCCAACACTGAACTTGGCTATGAAAAATCCTATCGTATCAAGGTCGGATGACGGATCAAATCTCTGAACAAGATTTTCCTCGCCGGGCTTTAACCATTCCCTGGAAATTTAGAAGCACAGAAGATATCAATTCTCAACCACTCATGATTTAATGCAATACTATAATGATGTGTTTCCACATAAGAAACGGAATCACACCATGATGTTTATATGATGCAGTTCCTACAATGACGATGGAAAAACTACTACCTTTCAAATAAATGTACAGCCATTGCAGAAATTCTGTATCTATATTTCATCTCTGTTCTGCTACTAGTCCAGGCGGTTAAAATTTAGAAAAATAGAGATGACTCAAAGGTACTTTCTTTATCTTTTAGTTGTTAACATCTTTGTTTGGGCATGCACACATTCAAGCTTCGCCATACATATTTTAAAATTACTAAATAGACACCAACACATCCATCTTATAAGAACATATGAGAATGACAGCAGAACCAACAAAATAAGCTTAACTAGCTAAAGCACGTCACGGGTATAAACTGTTTATACAGTTTTTCAATACACAAGTGACAACTAAGTCTTGCAAAGCAAACACTATGACATGGCAAGATGCTTACTCAATAAATCCATCAGGTGATTGACAACTACCAGTGAGGCCAGGTCCTCCAATTTTTGGATGCTGAAAGAAACACATGATTTAGAAATATAAGTAAGATCAATGGTAAGCTAGAAAATCTTGACGAGTATATTGATGAAAAGTATTTCTCACTATACATCCTCAATGATTTCTACACAGCAAACGATTCCTTTAATATCAATTTACTGGAAGTATTGTTTTCAATGAATAAGCAAGCTTTTAATCTAACCTGTGATGCTAACGAGAGAAACTTGTGCGTGTCCAATGCATATCGAACCAACGCTTCATTCTCACCAGGGTTTATCGTACATCTGAAGTTGGAAGCAGTAACATCAGTTGTTCAGGCTATTAAACATATGACTAAGTATTGGAAGAATCAGTCGACCACTCCATAAAGTTTAACATAATTAAAGCGCATGGCATTAAATGCTTGTCTAAAAATGAGCAAAAAATGTGGAGGAGCATGGAGGTATTACTGTCAGAAAGTAAGAACTACATTAACTAATACTACATGTGCTACCCCACTCAGACAATAGAAAAGAAAAACACATGCACTTAAAGAACTTCTAGAAGCAGTAGAGAACCCATATACATTACGGTGTTTCAAGTAAAGGAAGCTAAAAACTTTAATTATGTTCCAAACACAATCAAACAAGAAAACCTCATGTGACCTCGGGGCAACCCTAGGTCCTTAAAAGGCCAAACATACACTTTTCTGAAAAGCCATCAGATCTACTCACAACCCACTCCTTCTCTGAAACTTCATCTCCCATCTCCTTATCAGTAAATTGCAACTGAAAGCAGAACTACAATCAGCACAATCTTCTCTAGCTGATGAAGAATCTTATCACATCTTAATATAAGTTAAGCTGGCTCCCAAAGAGGAACTTCTATCCTCAGCAGACACTACGTCTAGAGCACAGCGTGCTCATGAGTCATGTCTAAATTAAAGGGAAAGAGGAAGTTTTGGTGCCAATCAAGTGGTTAAGAGCAAGCATATTCATATCTTATTGGACCCCGCGCATAGCAGGAGCTTAGCAGTTTTCACTTTGGCCAAACAGAATATCTCCAACCAATTTCCATGTAATCACAACCACCATTTAAGGATGTCTAGATTCAACGATTTACACTCTTTTTGATAAGGCCCATCATCCACACTCTTAATAAGTATGGACTTTCTATGGCTAACAAAATGAGACAACTACCAAGTACAATTGCCCCATTCTGAATAGCTGTCAAGTCTGTGTAAGGTTTTTTTTTTAATTAGGACAGGTTGTCTAAGGGTTACTACCACCTCTGTCCTTATTTACTTGGCATCATTCCTTTATATCCGTGATCCATCCCAGTTTTCTTGGAACCCTTTCACTAAGTGCAAACTTTTCATTCAAACGATATATACTAATGTCTTTCCAACCCATTTTATATGATGGTATTTGACTATATATGGAGTTTAAAAGAGGCTCCCAGTGCACTAAACTCCCGCTATGCGTGGGGTACAGGGAAGGGCCGGATAACAAGGGTCTATTGCACGCAACCTTACCCTGCATTTCTGTGCTGTTTCAACGGCTTGAACCCGTGACCTCCTGGTCACATGGCAGCAACTTTACCGGTTACGCCAAGGCTCCCCTTCTAATGACTGCAACTGGAGTTTAAAATGTTAATATTTGACTTGTATATTAAATAGTGGCAGAGAAAGGAAATATTAAAGTAATGGCTGCAAAGTTAGATTTCGATGGAGAAACTATCACGCTGAAGTTGAAAATTTGGATAAGTTAATGAATTCAAATTCTTGAAAATTGTAAAAATTTGTATACAAATGGAATAGTGTCAAACATCTTTGGATGTCCTAAATTAGAAAGAGTGTCAAATAAATTGGGAGGGAGGAAGTAGTAGTTGATGTTGTCTTAAAAAGGTGTGATTATTTTTAGCAACTTCACTGTTCACATTTAACATTATTCTAAAGACTTCTCTAACTAAGTAAAACAAAGTCATCTCTTCTGGGGACGGAGGTAGTGCAAGTGTACATGAACCCACTAAATTCTCTTTGGATGGAAAAAAAAAAAAGCATCACAATTTGCATATTGCATCCACAGAGAATTTAGCACCCGGTGAATAATCCATGGGATGACTTTCACACAGCTAGAGGTTCTCTCAATCTCCTTCATAATTCAAAAACACATTGTGAACATTTGTGTTAGACTCTATCATAATATTTGGATATCTGTGAAATTGATTTCTTATCATATCAAATGAAGTCTTCCAAACTTCAATATCTCACTGAAATCAGGTCTGTGTTCACGTATTCAACACTAAGACACAAGTCCACCTTAATGTCTCATTGAAATTTGGTCTGTACTCGTGTATTTACACATTAGGACATGAGTCCACATTCTGGAACGGCTTTTTGCGACTACCCCTTCATGGATTTGTATAAACAGCTATGCCTAAAGATAAAGGAAAACTAAGATACTTGTTACGCATATATGTTTTAGCAGACTGTTTCAAAATTGATGCCAGGCCACATCTAATACTTTCTGCAACCACAGCCTCTAGCATGAAAAAGAATTAGGATCTAGTACTAAGTCAGTCACGAAAACAAAGGAACAAGTTGAAAAGATTGCAGAGCAGGGAGCTAGAAATTTGTCATGATCCAAAAAGTGAGAAAATCAGATTAACATAAAGAGATGTAGAGTTGGTATCAAGGTCAGTTAAGTAGAAAAAGGACAGACGGAATCATAATTCTAACTCAAAGCAGTGATGAAATTCGCTGTAATAATCTTTAAAAAAAAGGGGAGGGTAGCCCGGTGCACTAAGCTCCCGCTATGCGCAAGGTTCGGGGAAGGACCGGACCACAAGGGTCTATAGTACGCAGCCTTACCCTGCATTTCTACAAGAAGTTGTTTCTACAGATTGAACCCGTAACCTCATGGTCACATGGCAACAACTTTACCGGTTACGCCAAGGCTCCAATGGAATTAGTGTCAAGTCTCATTAAAAAAGTTTAAATCCATGTTTGTACTTTTAGATAAGGAGATACATGCTTGTACTTACGTGGAATAGACAATAACTCCACCTGGGCGAACAAGCTGAACAGCCTGGTCAAACATTCGTCTCTGATATTTGGCATGACTCCTCAACGAATCAATTGTATCCTGGATATAACAATAGAAACGTTTTATGAATCAGTTGTCCTCCATATAACAGAAATGTCTTCTCAAATTTACTATGAAAAGGTGATAACTTTTGAGTAGTGTTGAAATATGCAGGAAATAGGAATAAACTTTTTCTGATTAAAATTCGCGTAGTTGATCAGAGCCTCGTCTCCATCCCAATCCATCAGATACCTCCAGACAAGAAAGACATTTTCAATCTCATCATCAAATGGAAAATAGGATGTCTAAGAATATCTGCATGTCTTTGGATTAATTAATTTTTACCTCAAGAAGGTACCACTGATTCACTTTCATAACAGAATTGCTTGACATGATGTCACCATCCCAAGAAGATAAAAGGTTTGACCAGCTATTACTTTAAGTTTAAGAGTCAGTCATCTTTTACAAAAGGGAAGAGAGAAATTAAAAGATAGTGATCCACCCCTTAATAAAGTTCATGGAAAGCATCATTCGTTTTGGGTACTTTAACCAAATCATGTTAATATAAAATAAAAGAGAGCATATACAAAATATAATTAACAACTTTTATTCCTTTCCTCATCTACACAAGATCGTGTAGTTTCTAACTATCCCACTTCTTTTCATAATCTTATCCTACAGTAATACTCACCCTCAATTATTAAGCTTTTATGTTAAAGGAGGACAGCATAAGCCATTTGCTATCTATACATCATACAATAGTCCAAAACAAGACAGACAGAAAAAATAACAACCCGTCCACTTTTATCTGATTATCCACATGCATCTCATAACCATTCCTACATGCGCAGAAAATTCCATTTCATCCAAATCCCAATAAGAGCCTGTTTGGAAAGCCACCTTGGAAATGGATTTGGGTGTAATTACACAGTTTTGGCATGTTTGTTTGGCCAAGTAATTACTTGGTCAGCATGGAATTGGGTGTAATTGGAGGAGTGTAAGTACACTCTTCAATTCTCAAGGGGGAGGTGAGAATTGGTGGTAATTACACTGTGTAATTACAAGGTTGCTTTTTAGTTTATTTCCTTTTTGTTTTTAATTTAATTTATTTGCTTTATAACTTTTTGTTTCTATTTTTTATTTTTTTTTATTTTTGCTTTTTAATTCCTTTTGAAATTTTAAAATGCATTTTTCTTTGTACATTATTTATCTTTTATTTCTCTATATTTACTTCTTGTGATTCCATGTAATTGCTTATATTTTATTCATTATTTATTTTATTTATTTTATTTTTTGAAACTACACCTCCTAATATTAAAAATAATGAGTCATTAACAAACTTGGCATATAATGAGTGATGCAATTAAAGTGGAATTTCATTGTTGAATGTGGTTATAAATCTATCATGTTTCCTATTCTTAAGTTGCAGTGGAACTTACTATTATTATGTTGGAATTTGATATATGTTAAACTATTTTATTTTTTTTTAAATTTGAAATTGTGTTATATTCATGGTTCCAATTTACTTGTTTTAGTAGTAGTGGCTCACATTGCATGTTGTTTATTTTTTTAGTTAGAATTGATAGATTAGTTTTGTGAAACATTTAAATAATGTTATGACATTATATTTATAAACATTAATTTATTTTATCAAACATGAATTCCATGATGTTCTTACAAAATGTATATTTTTAATTTTTGTAAGTATCTAAACTAAATATTATTAATTTAAAGAATATATATAAATTATTTTTACAATATTAGTTATAAATATATGATTACTAAATTAATGTATATTCACGAAAAAATATACATCTTAAATACCAAATATAATATCATTTATAGTTATAAAAATCAATAGGTATATATTTATTATATTAACTGTTAAGTTTTGATAATTACTTAATTTAAAATTTAATCTAACTGTGTAATTACACTTGTGCAACCAAACAGTAAACATGTAATTACACTGTAATTATATTATGACAAACAAACAGGTCATCGTAATTACACAACTGTGTAATTACTAGGTTGTATAATTACTACCCTAATAATTACACCCATTCCAATTACAAGGTGGCTTTCCAAACAGACTCTAAATAAAATGGTAGAGAAACTTTAATCATAGGAAAAAGAGCAAGAATACTATGGAAATGAGACAATTCAGCAGCTGTCTTACCTCTCCAGCAAAGAGACGAGGTCTTAAACCTAATGCAGAGCAAGGAGCATCAAGGAGCACACGATCAAAGCTATTGGGAGAAAAACCTTTAGACTTTTCAACCCTCCCACCTGCAGTGTGATTTCTTCCTGGCCCATTTTTGAGTTTCCTGATACGTTTCCGCAGTTCAGCTTTGCTAGTGTACTGACCATCCTTCAGCTGCAAGTCATTGACTGAGAGATTCTTTTAGTTACTCCAGTTAACTGGAACTATCAGTAAACATTTTTATACTGAACTTACAGATCATGAGCTTGTGAAAATGTTGTTGAATTAAGAGAATTATGAGCTAGCACTCTTCAAAGGACTAGCAAACCAGTCTGATGAATTTACACACACATGTAAACAATTCATACCCATCATAATTTCCTTAAATAAACTGTATACAGACATCAGCCTACTTAATTTAATTACACGTAGCTAGGCAGGCAATTTCAAGGTCAACGCACACCAATGTAGTGGAATCACTAAATTTTTTTTTTTTTGGGGGGGGGGGTGGGGGGGGTTACTGTTTCACGAGACCCCAAAAAATAAACAAGTAGGAGAGATGCCAAAACCTCTTGAACAGGCTAAAAGGAGAGACCAAAGTCATCTTTTCTAAAGATCATACAACAAACAGAATACCACATTAACAACACATCCCAAACCAGAAAAATATCATGATCAAATTGAAAGTTTTCAAACTACTCACAATTCTTTTGATATAGTAACTTTTCATCAGATCCATCTATATCAGTGGATAATAAATCTGATTTTTGCATGTTTTGAACATCCTCGCTAAAGCATGTGTTAGGCAAATTATCAGATTCAGCTCCATGACAAACAGACTTCAGTGCGTCAAGCTTATATGTAGTTATACAGCCTATCCCCATCTCAGCCGCCAATTTCTGAATTCCAAGCACCTGTATCATAACACAATTAGATCTCTTCAAGGAACTGGACCAGCAAAATTTGGCCCTCTTCTATACAATCCAAAAAATGGAAAGAAGTTTTGACTTTTGAACTGGAAAAGTGCAAAAAGTCACAGTTTGTTCTTAGTAATAGGAATATTTTTATGTATTAACTCATGTAGTTTATTTAACAATTATGAAATGATGAGGTATGAGTATTTGGAGGACATGGCGTTTAATCTCATATGGATGCGCTTTTAACCTCAAAAGAAAGCACTAGGTGGGCCTTCCTATCAAGGCTGGAAGGCTTTGGCAATAAGAGTCAAAAAGGCTTTTTCTTAATAGGCTAGTGATACCTGGATTTCTCCAAGTCAAAAAAGCAGCACCAGAACAAGTGTCACTTATGTAAAGCATGTACCATTGTATAAATTTTCTTCAAGTAAGATATGTCAGCTTACATGTCATTCTTTCGATTACACTACATAAAAGGCTACAGCATTTGAGCAAATACTTAAAATCAATATATTGATCTGACTGCAATGGTGCAAGTCCCAGCAATTTAAGGACACCTTTAACCCAGGTGACAACCTTCCATGTCAAATCTTTTTGGTTAGAATCAAAGAATCCAAAATACTATGAAGTTAAAATATTTGCAAATACTATAGAAAAATAATACGCTTATAATCACCTGCCAAGTTCAGAAGGTGCACCTTATTATGAGATCTGTCAACAGCAACAACCTTCCCTTTGTCCTTCATAAGGATTGCTATTGCTGTGGTTTTGCCCCCTGGAGCTGCACACATGTCCAATACTCTCTCTCCTGGTTGAGGATCTAGGACAATTGGTTGTGGGAAGAAGAGACGTTTCATTTGAGTTGAGAAAAATACTTACTTAACCAAGCTACTTTTGCAGAACATACTTGATAAGTTGTATTAGAATGTCAAAAGGAAAGAGAGAGAAGACCAAACTTCTTTCATAGATAGAAAGAGAAATACAATCTCAAGTTGTTACAAATGCATGGCATAGAGCAAGGTAACTTAGCACAAAACCAGTGTTCCATTTTCCACAAGGTAAAATATATTAGGCTATAGATTATGACAACAACAACAACAAACCTAGTGGAATCTGGGGAGGTTAATGTGTACGCACACCTTACCCCTACCTTACGAAGATAGAGAGGCAGTTTCCGGTAGACCCTCGGCTCAAAGAACAGTGAAACTAAAGCAACAAACAATTGCAACAACAAGGTAACAGGGTAACGGAAGCGAATGACACAAAATGTACTAATAACGAACCAGGAATAAGAAAATGCGAAAAATAGAACTAGTATTACTAGTAAGCCTAGGAGAGACTCGCGACTATCTGTCAACCTTCAACCCTAATACTCGTCCTCCACACCTTCCTATCAAGGGTCATGTCCTCAAGCTGAAGTAGTGACATGTTTTGCCTAATCACCTCACCCCAGTACTTTTTAGGCCTACCCCTACCCTTCCTCAGACTCACCATGGTCAACCTCTCACACCTCCTAACCCGGGCAGCTATGTCTCGCCTCTTCACATGCCCGAACCATCTCAGCCTCGATTCCCGCAACTTGTCCTCCACAGGGGCCACTCACACTATGTCCCTAATAACTTCGTTCATAATCTTGTCCTTCCTGATATGTCCACACGTCCATCTCAACATTCTCATTTCAGCTACTTTCATCTTCTGGACATAGGACTTCTTGACGGGCCAACACTCAGCTCTGTACAACATAGTCGGCCTAACCACCACTCTGTAGAACTTGTCCTTAAGTCTCGGTGGCACATTTTTATCACACAAAACCCTAGATGCAAGCCTCCATGTTATCCACTCCGCTCCAATATGATGTGTAACATCCTCGTCAATCTCTTTGTTGCCTTGTATTACAGACCTAAGGTATTTAAAATTATCTCTCTTGAAGATGACTCGTGTATCAATCTTCACTTCCACTTCTGCTTCATGCATCCCATCACTGAACTTACACTCCAAGTAGGCTATAGATTATGATATAGTTATTCTTTTTGCGGGATATCATAATCTATACCATAGGCTACAGATTATGATATCCCGCAAAAGGAATAACTTAATCATCATTTTCATGACATAATGTGCATTCACCAACAAGTGTTAACGAAAGTATATTGAGATACTTCAAGTGAATGTTCAAGAATTCTACGAGTCACTTCGTGATGATATTGAAATTTGAGGATGCAGTAATATAAACTACACTACAAGTTGGAAGAGTTTTAGTTGCGCACAAAAGACAAAACTAAAATAACAAACATCTGGAAGCAAAAACTTAGAGTGCATCTAAACAAGATTTCAAGCAAATGCAACCCCTTGGAGATTCAGGAGTTACTCTTTGAGCGGCCTTTCTAAAGTTGTTGTTCATGTTGGACACCATTGCTCTAGCTCAATGACAGGCATGTATGGTAGAATATAACAACAACAACAACAACCCAGTATAATCCCACATGTGGGGTTTTGAGAGCGTAGTGTGTGCACAGACCTTATCCTTACCCCGTGGGGTAGAGAGACTGTTTCCGAAAGACCCTCGGCACAAGGAGATGAAAAAGAGGCAATGGAACAGTAACAACAACATATGTCAGGAAGACATTACCAGCGACCTAAGAATTAGAAAAATAAATGGAAAAGGCAGTATCAATAGTCAGAACAATGGAAAGGTACTAGGAAACCAGAGCAGAGAAACAGTACGAACATAACAAGTACCACTATCAAACTAAAGCAAGACACTAACAAACTAGCCTAACACCCACAACGGAGAAGAAAAACGTTCAACTACCTACTAACCTACGACCCTAATGCTCGCCCTCCAAACCTTCCTATCTAAGGTCATGTCCTCAGTGAGCTGGAGTCACGTCATGTCCGGCCTGAACACCTTTTCCCAATATTTCTTAGGCCGCCCTCTACCTCTCTTCATACCTGACAAGGCCAACCGCTCGCACCTCCTAACCGGGACATCAAGGCTTCTCCTTTGCACGTGCCCGAACCATCTAAGCCTCACTTCCCGCATTTTTTTCATCCATGGATGCCATCCCCACCTTCACCCGAATATCTTCATTCCTAATCTTATCCAACCTAGTATGCCCCCACATCCACCTCAACATCCTCATTTCTACTACTTTCATCTTCTGGATATGAGAATTCTTGTCTGACCAAAAATTTACAAGTGCAAGCGCAAAAAACAGGCTAAGACAAGGGATCGTGAAGCTTGCTAGGACATACTACTGATTTCAGAATCAGAGAAAGCTAAGTTTTTTATCAAGGAGATCAACTGATGCAGCATCACTATGGATCAGATGTCGAGAGATATAAATTGTAGGATGACTTCTTCGTTTTGCTATGCTATACTTTCAGCGGAATATGTCTCATTCTTAGAGAAATTAATGCCAGAGATCATCTTCCAGAGCAAACCAGAAACAGCACAATCCATATAATCAACTTACCAATTACATCCTTTGATCTTAAAGCGTAACGATCGACCAAATTAATTGTTTTACCATTCCCTTCAAATTTAAACTGGCACTTAAAATACTGTAAACTCATTGTTCTTACAATAAGAATACTTCAAAACTTGCAGCATATAAGAAGGAACAAAAACAAAAGGTCAAAATCCATGAGCTACCGTAATAATATGATGATACAGAACCATTACACAAAATAGAGAATATCTAAGAAACTATGAACATACCTAAGGCGTGTGCAGTTATTATGCTTGGCAGGTTCTGAAGAAAAATCTCACCCTCAAGCAAATCTGAAAGCAAGATATTATAATCAAATACTGTATTCAAAACTACTAAAAGAAGTTGCTATTCACAGACAATCCAAAAACATGATTATAATCATGTGTACAACGTTTCCTGTTCGTTGTTTCTTTCACACACAAAATCACGGTGTCAAGAAACAATAGACAACAATGAAAAATCACTCATGGAGATGAGAAGTGTACAAAGTATTTCCTTTGTCATAAATAAAGATAGCTTTAAAGATCAGAGGAAGGACTGCTGAGGGCACTGATAACAACAAAAGTTGAAGTTAATGGACTTTCCCATCCTTCTGCACCTCTGAAAGCTCTAGACTATTAAAGGATTACATTTTCGTTACACCAAATGGAAGTGACAGTAGCATCAACCCAAGCACTATCTGCAGGAAGATAGTGACTTTGCAATAGCGTCAGACTCTAACCAACTGTGCTGAAAATTTGCAAATATGGCATCCCTCTAAATAGCCTTATTTTCTTACAGTGACAAAAGCCTTTAACTTCTCCATCTAGCAATGGAAACTTTCTACTGTCTAGCGAAAGTGACCAGAAATTATAATGTACACTACTTTTCGACCACCAATGGGACCTATTCTCCCTTGTCCATTTTCAGAAAAATGAATAGGCAACTGACAATCATGGCAGACATATTTAGAGAGAGCTTTGAAGGGTCTCTAATGGCAAAATATCACTCATGTAAAATCAATCCTGGGTCTAACCACAAAATTGGTCTTAATTCCTCTTCCAAGACGCAGCAAATTTCTCGACATTCTGAGCACTAGAATTTTGGAAAGGTGAAAAACTAAAGCTTCCTAACGCAAATTTAGTAAATTACACGAAAATAAATTGTCGTTTTCACACTTCTTGTTAAAGGGATGAGATCTAATTAGTCATCACATGCATCAACAACTACAATACTCTAAAACCTATGCACCAAACAAACAAACAAAAGCCATACTAGTAATACTACACTTCAGATTCTCACAGACATCTTACATCATGTCCGCTGTTCGAACTTGAGTGTGTTAAATTTCCTCATTCAGAACCATGGCAGACTTAAAATACCAGCCAATAGTGTAAACGTGCCGCAGTAATTCTCAACTTGGATGAGAAACGGCAAACAGAACTAATACAGTTACCCCAAAGAAAAGGCAGAGACATCATTGTCAGACTAGAAATAAGTAGCAACCATAAAAATCTTCCACTGCAAATATTTTTAAGAACTAGATGGTAACAACACTTATTAAGTTGAAGCAGATTCTTATCATCAAGTGGGATGCCAAAAAGTTTTCCATAAAACTATATGCACATAATATCCTGTAAATGATTTCCATAATACTGGAAAGGGCGAGAAAATTGTACCATAAAAGGAGGGCAGTCTAAATACTCTTTCCTTCATATCCACCGCAACTCCTTCAGATACACGAAATAACCCAGCTCTTGACATCATTGCTGTTCCTTGGCCAATGTAGAAGCCATCTCTTTCAAAATAATAAGGATCTAAACAACACTGAGATTGGTCACTCTATTGGCTGGAAGGATGTCATACAACTAAGCAATAATATAAAGATGCAATAGACTTATATAATGCAAAAGTTGATTGTGTGTGTGAGACAGAGAGAAAGAGGAGAAAAACAACATTTCGGCAAATCAAGCAGATTTAGTATATATTTAAGAATGACCGCAGCATACCTTTTTCTTAACAAGTAATAAAGAAAAAAGACCATAGCAAACTTGTATCCAAAAAATCAGATTAGATGAAAAAGCATCTTGGTGTTTAACCAGAAGAATGCAGCATATCCCAGTTCCCACCATACCCATGTGATAAGGAGGATGAGTAGTACATCAGGGTGAAATGAAGCCAACGGTTCAAACTTACTGCATAACTAGCTTTTCGTTTTGCAAGAAATTCACCAAAAAGGGAGTCACATTGACCATCACATTACGGAATATCTCGTTTATTGAGTACATCAGGGTGAAATGAAGCCAACGGTTCAAACTTACTGCATAACTAGCTTTTCGTTTTGCAAGAAATTCACCAAAAAGGGAGTCACATTGACCATCACATTACGGAATTTCTCGTTTATTGAGAAATAAATATCTGGATTATGTACATTAATCACATGCCATCACCCCAACAAATGAAACCTTTTCTGCATTGAAACCAACTGGCTTAACCCCAGATCTAACTATTAGTTGAGGAGGTGTTAGCCATACAAAATCAGAAACTTACTGATGCCCAGTCATATTTGGGCAAAAGTGAAATGGGGAAAAGCCAGAAGCAAGACCAAAATGTATTTTGCAGTTAAACACACATGTCAAGTTTATGTCAAAGAAATACTAAGTTCCTCAGCAAGCTTTCCATAGAGAAAACACACTAATTCCATTAGGGTTAATTCAGTGTAGAACTTCAGAAAAAATGCTTGATTTAATGTGAAAAGGTGCAAAAGAAGAAGTTAGATTACCTGCTTGTGATCCTTGTAGAACAGTGCCACGTGTCATTGCAACACCCCATCCACCATCTGGAGCAGACTGTTCCACAGCAACTGAAACTGCAACTGCATCACCTCTTTCGACATGAGCACTGCATGCCAAAACACCAGGCACATAAACCTGGGAACATGATAAGTAAAAGATAAGATTAAAGTGTTAGGGTGCAATATTTGTAATTTAACTAAAGTTCGTGCACTCTTTACGAAAAGATTTTAGCAAATTAAAGAGGAAAGATCTTCTTCCAATGCCATTGTTTTGGTAATTTTGCAGCCTTGCAGGGACATGTGTCTACTGTCCATATGCTTGTGCCCCTATAGACAGAAAACTAATACATAACATGAAGTGATATTGAAGGTCAAGATGTCACCTATCCTGACAAAGGTATTACATAGCTTCAGATTAAACCAGTGGATAAATGGAGAAGAAGGGAGTTACTGCTTGAAGTAGCAGTCAAAATTTACACCCCTGAATAAAACAGGATAAAGTAAGAAAAGAAAGAAGAGAAGAATAAAGCACTAAACATTTTCTTTTTAATGTGGGGTGGGGGGGGTGGGGGGGGGTGGGGGGGGGAGGGG